TGACCGCCGGTTCCCTTCCCCGGCGGTAGCCGAGATGCTTTTTTTTTTAATCTTCCCGTTTTGCAAGCCATGGGACCATGAGGCCGCTGTCTCCCTCTTGATGATCTCTGCAGAGAGCAAGCCAAACCCAGGGAGGACCGCACCCCTTCTTCCTAACGGCGGGAGCGCTGTGGGTTTCATTGCGTCTCCAGGAAAGCGGACCTGGGAGCCGCTGGCGGAAAAAAATCATCTTTAATTATTTCTAAAAACTGTAGGCATGCGCGTTCCAGCTGATAATTCATGCTTTGTGCAGCATTTAGACACATTCCTAAAGAGCATTCGTAGGAGATGAGGTGCCTTTTCCTTTTTTTTTTTCCTTTCATGTCACCCTGTAGGAAGCTCCATGCCTTGCCCCCTGGACACCAGACAGCCATCAGCCCTGCCAAACTTGTCCTGGGGAAGCCGAGGGGAAGCTGCGCAGCGTGAAGAAAGTTCGCAGAGGCTCCTCCTGGCCCTGCGGGGTTTCTCATGCCAGCAGTGCATCGGCTCCCTCGGTCCTTGCCTCACGATAGCCGGGTGTGTAGGCAGCGCGCTCATTTGTGTTTATCCATATTGGAGCTTGGGGGTCTAAACGGGTCCAGGCCCTGCTGTCCTACCCTTCCAGCCCAGCTTCCTGGTTGATACTGAACTGCTTCAAAGGAGGCCTACTTCTTGTTGCCCATTCCATGCTGTGTTCACATGGACTCTGTGGCAGGGGTTTGGATGTTTTCTGTCATTGAATAAAACTTTTCACTTTGGAATATGTTTTCTACTCTCTGCTAGCTCACGTAAGTCCTGCAGCAACTGTGAGGTAGGCCCATTTTACAGATGGAAAAAGTGAGGCACGGAGTAGTTGCCCAAGGTCCCAAAGTCAAGTTTCTGAAGCATTATAATTAAAGTGTTGAGTGAACACTACAATAAGACTGAAGCACATTGAGAATCTAGTTCTGGCCAGGCATGGTGGCTCAGCCTGTAGTCCCAGCACTTTGGGAGACCCAGGCGAGAGGATTGCCTGAACCGGGAGGTTCGAGACCAGCCTGGGCAACTTGGAGAGACCTTGTCTCTACAATAAATCACGAAAACTAGCCGGGCATGGCGGTGTGCATCTGTAGTTCCAGCTACTTGGAAGGCTAAGGCAGAAGGATCGCCTGAGCCCAGCAGGTCAGCGTGACACTGCACTCTAGCCTGGCGACAAAGAGTGAGAATCCAACTCAAAAAAAAAAAAAAAAAAATCCACTTGTGCTTTTCTTTTCCCACTTAGCCATGCTTTTGGGGGCTTACAAACCAATTCTTGCAAAGCTTACTACTCTACCCTGTCCTTTCATAAACCAGAGCCTAGCCTCTGATATCAGAAATCATTCATTTCTCTTGATGTAGAAAGATGAAGGTGTTATCCTGAGTGGCAGGACAAAATAAAACCACAAGACCAGAGTGCATTTATGGATAAATATATTAGCAAATAAATACGTTTCTCAACATAGTGCCTGATTCAAGCGTCTTTCTGTCTGGTTCAGATATAAATATCCATGTGGGTGCCTAGGTGCTAGTCTCCCCCTGATTTTGAGGGAGGAAGGTTCCCAAGTGGGATCCTGTGCCCACTTTGCCCCCACATTCACATTCCAAATGGGATAACACCTGAGGGGCCAGCTATGGTGAGGCTGCCCCGGGATGAATGTCACCCTAAGGAGGCCTCTCAGCCCTTGCCCACTCGGTATAAGCTGCCCAGGCCAGATTTCCTGCCTCAACTCCACTCTCGCAGGCACACTTTCCTGGGGGTCTCTGGCCTGTTAGGCATATACTGGGGAGCTAGGCCTCTGGCCCTGCAAACTCAAGGGTCATACTTTGCTTCTCCTTTATTCCCCTGCTCCCCATCCCTGCTCTGAGACAAAACTTCTCCCAGAGAATAACTCTTTGTTGTTCCTGCTCAGCTTAAGCCTGCCTTTTCTACTTTCATTCCATCCTTCCTCTTCCCAGATGAAGGCCCGCAGAAATTCTTTGCTTTGGGACTTGAAGACAGGAGATCTTCAAGGAAGTTTTTCCTCCCCAGAATCCCTACTCCCATCCACCAGAAGAACTGGGACTGCTGGAGTGACAAGGGCACAGCTGTGCCCATCTCATGGATAGAACTCTACACTGTATTGGGAACACCCTTTTTTTTAGTGCTCAGGGCTCACCTATGTTCCTGGTCCTTTTGGCAAAGAAGAAAAATGGTAGAGCTGGGTTTAACCTGATATAGCAGCTTACCATGGAGGGGCCAAAGCTGGTGTGCAGAACTCACCCAGGAAGGAGGTGATAAGGGGTCACACATTCCACTGAGCCCACTGGCTGGTACGAACATGAGATCTGGGGCAAGAGAGACCTAGTAGGGCTGGGGAAAGGAGCAGCACCTTTGTAACACCTAGCTACCCATACCTAACTTTCTCCCCTCCAAACATTTAGCCACAGGCAGTGGCTGGTTGCCTGGCTAGACATGGACTTGCTGCACTGCTGATGTATTCTGCAGACAAGGTCCGGAGCTGGAGCAGGAAATAGCACCTCCAGCACCCCCACCATCACTGCTTCTCTTCCAGAGCTTCCAGGAAGTGTGGAAAAAGAGAGATGTTTGCTGACGTCCTTTCTTCTCCCAGGAGCAGGACTCTGTGCCAGGTAGGGCCCAAAGTCATCTGGAGCATATTCTTGGTTGGAGCCAGGCCTGACGTCTCATACTGCCTGTTCACATAGCTCCTCGAGTTCCTCCTCCGAGTCTGTATTTAGAGACGGGAGAAAAAAGGTCATTGAGGGTTGGGCCAGGCTCCTTCTCCCTCCTGCTTAAGAGTATGGCTGGGAGGGGAGGAGGGAGGGGGAGCAGGGAAAGTGTCTGGAAAGGGTGATCAGATTGAAAGTGGAGTGGGGCCCCTGTTGGGACAACGGGGAGAGAAAAACAAATCTAGAGAAAGAGAAACATATATAGCAACCAGTGTGTTATCAATGCTTAGTATTCATTCATTCACCCAATAAATATTTATTAAGCATTGTGAGTTTGGTCTGCTACCATGTGCCAAATTAGAAGACCAGAAAGAATAAGCAGGGACCTGATAATCTCATAGGAGACTCAAAGGTGTGCCTGCAAATGGCTATAGTGCCAGTGGGACAGGACAGAGGTTATAAGAGATGCATCAAGGATGTGGGGAGACCATGTCCAAGTGCAGCAATCAGGAAAGGCTTCCTGGAAGTAGGGTTAAATGAGCTGGGCCTGCAGGAATAGGTACAAATTGGATTTATGGGAATAGGGAAGGCAGGAGGATATTCTGGGCTGTAGGAACTACATGGAGTTTTTTACCCAGTTTGGCTAAAGCACAGAGCCAGGGAAGGGGAAGGAAGAGAATAGAAAATAAGGTTGGGAACAAAGACGGGGGCAGGCTGGTACTGGAGCCAGCAGATTGGATGTTTCCTTACTATGGACAAACAGAACATCTGAAGGTTTCTGGACAGTTTATTTTAAGGCAGATGGCCCTGGCATCTGCATGGAGGGTAGCTGTGGGGGGGTGCAGTGCTGCACAACTCCATGAGACACAACACTGATGGGCAGCATCCACCTTCATGGCACGGTGAGACAGAAGGGAAGAGTTAGGAGGCTGCTGCGTGGATCCTTAGGCTGTCCCTGACACTGGCAGGCTGTCCGACCTGGACTTGAGGAGGATATGATAAAGCTAGCAGAGATACAGTTCATTGAAACTGGCACTGCTGGGATGTGAGGAGCTGGGAACAGGGAGGCGCTGAAACGAGTTCTGAGTTTGGGAGAAAAGGGAAGTGGTGGTCTGGCACGGGCAGCACTGAAAGTACACACATGACAAGGTCCAGACGGAATCACAAACACATGGCCAAAGTTTGCATTACACAGCTCTACAAAAGCCATCATCCTCTGAACTGTAGCTATCTGCATCCCTGGCTTCGCATGGGCCTGGATGTCCTGGTTGGCAAGTTCCATGCCCTCAGACCCTAACCTGGGACTAGCACAAAACAAGCATACAGTCACAAGGAAAAAGGGAGGGAGGGAGGAAAAGAGTGAATGAATGAATCATAGAAGCTCTCAGATCCTGCCTGTAGGATTCCTAGACTGTGAGATCTTATATTTCAGGACCTTTGGGTCCTCTCTTGGGGTGGAAGGGTTCTCCTAGCAATGGAGGTAGACAAACAGCCATGTCATCCACAAAATGGGAGGAGCTGGGGAAGAGTGGGAAGGGAAAGCTCTGGAAGGGGAAGGGAGCATTTAGACAAATAAACACTAAGTTAAAGTTGAGAGTTTACATTCTCACCCATTGTTTATCATCCAGGGATGCAATGAGTCCTCAAGAAAATGAGGTTGGTCTTATTAACATGGGTGCTTGGAAGAGAAGTCTTACTTGTTCCTTTACCACAGGGGCAGAGGAAGAAAAACCTAAGGATCCACAGGGTTGCCTAGAACCACCTGTGGTTTCTTTTTTTTTTTCTTTCTGTCATTCACATGGTTCTCATATAGCCTATTGTTATGGTTATCTGTAATTATTTCTCCTAAAAAGATCATGCTTTCCCCAAGGAACACTTCATGGCCTTCTTTGTATTTAGAGCTAATAGTGAGCTGGGAGCATTGGTTGTGCCAATTATTAAAACAGTGGAACACCTCTGTTTGAGCTGCTGCTCATGTGCCTTTCTGGTGCCTCAGCCATACCAGCACCTCTCTCCAGGGTAACACTGGGTGGAGCTGGGGTGCTCCAGTGCTCTAGCCAATGTGTTATGCTGTGCTGGCGGCTCGATATTTAGAATATCACCTCTGCTGTATCCTTCTCAGCTTCCATCAACCCCTTGCTGGCCAACTTCACCTCCTGCAATGTTCAACTCTAGTCTCCTCTCCCCACCACACCTGCTACCCCTGAAAACTCACCAGGCTGGGCTGGCAGCACCTGGCAGTGTAGATGAGGGCATGGTCTGCCCTCCGGGGTGTCAGAACTCCATTCAGAAGGCCCCTCCCCAGGTGGGTGTGGCCCCAGGGGCCGGCGTGGAGTCAGACACAACCACACTGTCTGTGAACTGGAGTAACAGGGACCTGGGGTTTCTGGTAGCAGCCTCCTGTCCAGGCCTGGAGGTCCAAAGATCAATGGGTGGGCCTCTGAGGACCAAGGATATGCCAGGTTAGGGCTGTAATGAGGGAAAATCTGGCAAGTTGGGTGCACAGTGGAGTCCTGGGTCCGAGAAGCTGAGGTGGGCTCTGAGGGACCCCCCCGCCGTTTTCTCTGTGGGTGTCGGACAGAGAGGCTAGATTTCTGCATGTTGAAGAGACCACTGGTACTAGGACAGGGGCTGGAGGCTTCAGCTGGCCCAGGGGCTGGCTCAGGGAGGGCCCTGGGTCGTTGTGGGTTGGGCAGCTGCCCTGAAGGTGCTGCCGGGATGGATCTGGCAACTTGGTGATCAGGAGGAGGAGGCTCCGGCTGGGGTTGTGTCTGAGGAACAGCAGGCCTGGAATGGGGGACACCGGTTTCTGGGCCAGGCTTCCTGCCATGCCACTGAAACCGCTTTTTATAGTGGTGATGCCGGTGGCGGTGGTAGTGGATGTGGCTGGAAACCTGGGTTTCCCCTGTGGGCACCACTGAGTCCAAGGAACGGGGCCGAGAGGCCACGCTAGGCTGCATGTCCACTGCTTTGGGATCCCCTTCAGGGCTGCAGTACACCAAGGGGTCAAAGTCACTGCTCAGGGAGCTGCGGAAGGTAGAACTGCTACCATGGATGCCCTGCAGGCTGACGTCTGTGCAGTTGACCACAGAGTCACTGGAAGAGCCGTGACAGGGTCCTGAGCTGGAGTCACTGGCTGGCCCATCTGCCAGGTATCCACTGCGTTCCGTGCAATAGCTTTCTCCAGACCCACTGCTGTCATGAGGCCTGGCCCGACGCAGGGGCACTGGGCAGGTAGCAGGGTGTTGTGAGGTGCATCGGAGGTGGCCCAGTCCCCAGCCCTGTGCGTAGGGGTGCTGGGCCACTGCCAGACGCTGTTGCTGGCCTGTAGCCCGGGCATGTGCAGCTCTTGGGGGGCGGTGATGCCGAGGGTCTGAGCCTGGATCCTGGGATGGCAGGAAGGGACTAGGTCGTGGGGGCCGAGCCACAGTACTCCGGGAAGGGCCCAGCAAGTAGGCAGCAGGGAGGTGGTAGTGGGCATGGCCAGGATGCTGGCGAATGAGATGGAGTCTCCGACCTGGTTCTTGGTAAGATCGAGAAGGCTCCAGGGACTGGGAAAATGAATCTCCCTCTGGGAAAAAAGAACAAAGAGCACAGGTATTTGACTCCATAAACCTATGGAGAATGCATTCAGAAAGGTGTGACTGTCACTAACCTATTTGACCCTGCATAGCCTGTGAACTCAGAGTTTGGGGGGACCAAGAACATCCCTCACTGCCTGTGCTGTGGGACTTCTGGTTCCCACCAGTCCACTTGTCTGCCCTGGGAGTCCCACTGGGCATGCTGATCCCTGCTTCTCCCACCAGCCACTTGGGGCTCCTTCACCCAGGGCCACTACTAACACATTGGCACCTTTAGGTGAATCAGAAAAGGGCTCTCTGAAGATAATTATTTCACTTTCATCTTTTAGAAAACTGTCATAATATATTGATTCTGATACAGTAGGATGCCTTATTGCTAGAAAATTGAAATAATTAATATATAAATCACCCAGATTTATAGAATCAACAAGGTTGTTACAAAATATAAATATTTTTAAGATAATAAAGATGTCTACATCATAACTGGCCCTCTCCTCAGGTGAGATGCCCCGAGCAGCACAAAGCCTAAATGACTACTGTGGCAGTTCTGTTTCCCTCTCAGCTTCAAGACAGAGGCTCCTTCCCAAAATGAATCCACATTCTAGACCCATCTGCCTGCACTCAGGGGAGCCCTTGGCCCACTTCCTACCTATGATGTTGAACATGCAGAGGGGGCAAGTCCGATGCTGATGTAGCCAGGGGTCCACGCAGGTACGATGGAACTCATGGAGGCAGGAAATGACCCGTAGCTCCTGGAAAAAAATGGGTCCAAAGGTTTCCACAGCTGCCGGAATGGCCAGGAGCTGGGACATCCCCAACTCCTTTGGGCCTCTCCTTCTTGACTCACTTGCAAAAGTCCTCACAGTACAATAGAAAAGCTGTGCGTTCTGGTATCAGGTAGGCCTGGATACTGTTTTCTGCTGTACAACGAGGATAAAAAGCTAACCTACCCGCCTTTCACTGCCATGGGGCGAAAATAAGATAATACATCTAAAGCACCACCACAGCCTGGCACATGGATGCACTCTCAACAAACAGTAGTGTTCTTCACTGGAAGACCAGAAAGTGACCAAACCTCAGGTGGTACCCTACCTCTGCCCCACAGGATACACAGGACACAGATGTAGCCAGGGCACCAGTCCACCCTCGCCCCAGCTTCAATCTCCCTCCTCGATCTGGTCACGGAAGTGAATCACAGGGCCTGCTTACCTGCCCCTCAGAGAACTCCTCCAGGCAGATGGCACACACAGGAGCTGAGCTGCAGCTGCTACCTGAGTCTGGCCACTCACCCCGGGCCCTACTGCAGCTGGCCTGGTACCTCCTGGTGGCCAGCTGGCTGATGGCCCAGGCCGTTCGCCGCTGAAGGGGATCCTGGGAAAAACAAGCAGGGTTCAGAATGGGGGGGCATGGGGTCCCCTTCTCTGTCCTCTGGACATCAGCTTGGCCTCAGTTCCCAGTCACCCAGTTAGGCCTCATGGCCAATTGCCCACCCCTGGGAGTTTGTCCCCTTGGAGCTCATATGTGGCTCTGCCAAGCAGGCCAAGCCCTCCCAACCCACCTACCTGCTCACACTGTCGACTTTTGTCCCCTTGATGGCCCAGAAGAGAAACTTTTTACCCAAGTGCTACTGAGTATCCCAACTTGGATATCCAACAGGCGTGTCAAACTTGACATGTGCCAAACTGAACTTGTAATCCTATTAACCATCCTCAATCACAAACCTGACTTCCCCGAGTCTTCCCCATTTCAGTAAGTGGCAAGTCCGTTCTTTTAATTGCCGAGACCATTGATTTTGACTCCTCTCTCTCACATCCCACAATCAACTCATTAGTAAACCCAGTGGCTTTGCCTTCAACAAAAACCTGGAACCTAACAACTCCTCACCATTTTCATGGCCACCTTCCTAATCTAAGCCACTAGTACTGTCACCCAGATTCCTGTAATAGCTTCTTAGCTGGTTTCTGTGTCCAGCCTTACTTCCCTGGAGTCTACTCTCATTAAAGCAGCAAGAGTGATCAGGTTAAAGCTCAAGTCAGATCATGGTGCTACTTCCCTCAGAACACTGCAGGAGCTCCCATTTCACCCAGAGTAAAACACAAATGACCTTAACAGGCCAATACGACTGTGTCCTCTTCCACCTCCTCCACCCCTGCCCCACTCACAGTCTTCATGCTGTTCCTCAGCCATGCCTGGCACCCTCGGCCTCAAGGCCTTTGCCCCTTACTCTTCTCTCTGCCTCAATCACTTTCTCCTCACAGACCTGCGTGGATGACCCTCACACTCAGTTAGGGTCATTGCTGTAATGTTGTCTTCCCAATGTGGCCTTCCCTGGACTTGCTTTCAAAGCGAACCCCGTCTCCTTTCATTCCCTTTCTCCTTTGCTATTTTATTTTTCTCTGTAGCACATAACACCTGTTATGCTAAAATATTACCTGTTTTACTTATGTATGTTGTTTATTGTCTGTCTTTTCCCACTAGAATGGAAGCTCCTTGAGGACAGGGATTTTTCGTCATTTTGTTCACTGCACTATCCCCAACACCTGGCCCTGGAGCTCTGTATATTTGTTGAATAAATGAATGAATGAATGAGCAATATGGGGAGAGGCTGCTGGAAATCAACAAAGACAGATACTAGGGTATTTAGATGTCAACTGCTTCATGGGCACAGAGGTGCCTGTCTTCCTCACGTTCTCCTTCCTGCTCCCCACCCACCTCACATACACACGCCCACCTCCACCAGAGAGCCCACAGCACTCACCGGTCTACTGTGGCGGGGGCGGCACCGGATGCGCAGCACCGAAGCCAGAATGACCACAAAGATGGTGCCCACCACTGTCAGCAGGATCCACACATCATAATCAGGCTAGGGGAATGACAGAGAGGGAAAGGGTCACACTTCTGGAGGGAGCTGGGCCAACACGGGAGGAAACACAGGAGCCCAGGAGACAGACAGCTAGAGGCTCCCTTGAGTCTTCCACCTGGGGGGTGAACAGGATGAACCTGGAAGTGGGATTTGGTGGGCCCTCTCTAGCCAAGGGTGCTCACAGAGAGGGTCCTCCAGATGCCAGCTATGAGAAGTACCATCTGAAAACCTGCATGCTTGGGAGAAGGAGAAAGGGACCCCACTGCAAGGTGGGCAATACTTGCCAGTGAGCAGCTTGGTGAGGTTCCTAGCAAGTGGAGAATTGGGTGAGGGGGACAGAAGGTGAGGGGGCCGGAGGCCAGACTTTCATTCCAGCTCTGCTATTCCATGCCATGAAACCACAGAGCTAAAAACAGCTTTAGAACTCATCTGCCCCAACCTGTCATCCTGCAGATGAGACCCAGTGAGGGGGAAAACTTGCCCAGAGGCACACAGCTGATGAATGAAGTTGGCCTAGAGGGTTTCTAGAATCCCTTTCCGGGAGTCTAAGGGCTTTTTGTGGGAGTGGCCACAGGACAAGTAGGGGGGGGGTGCTGGTTATAGAGGTCTGGTGTGCTTACCCAGGCCGGGGACTCCTTCAGCTCAATCCTCACATGGGCTTTTCGGTTCTTGTACACAAACTCCATCAGCTTCTCTGCGTCACGACCCCAGATCAACACCACTGGCCACGTCAGCCCCAGCGGCTGCTGCAGCTGCAGGAGGGAAAGTGCCCAGAGAGCTGCAGTAACTTCTCCATCCCCTGAGAACCTCACCTTATGCCATCCAGCCCCTCCTCGAACACTCACTATCCCTGGGTACCTGCTCAGCAGCAGCTCGATCCTCAGTGATGTCAAAGAGGACAGCACTAGCTCCTCGCTCACCCGCCATCCGGGCCTGCAGGGGCACATAGCACAGGTTGGGCTGGATTCAGAGAAGGACACAGCCATCCACGGCCCAGCCTCACCCCTCACACATGCATCCCTTCCCACTGCTGCGCAGTTTCACGTATATATGCAAGGGGTCAGTGGATCTAGGACCCCCTTTCTGCCCCCTGAACTCACCCAGGTCCCACTGCCTTCGAAGGATAACATTGTCTTTCCTTCTATAACGGATCAAACCCTTAACAGGGGTTTACTGGGTGCCAAGTGGTGGACCTGGTTCTAAGGCTAAGTAAGGACCACTGTCAGGGTTCAATCAAGCGGAGGATGAGAGAAGACAGGAAGAGTGGTACACAGCTCCTTCAGATGAGCTGGGTTTTCCAGGGCCTGGCCCTGCCTGTGCAAGGAGACTGCAGGGCATCCCCCCAGCTGAAGCAAAGCTCCAAGAACCTGGAGTAGTGCCCTCACCCAGAGTGTCCGTGGCAAAGCCCAGCCTCAAGCCATCTCTTCTTGCCACATTCTGGTTTGCCAATTCTTTCTCTGGCTCCAGTTCAAGGACTTGGAGGAGTCCCTGGCCAGTGCTTTATGCCTTCACCCTCTCTCTTGGCATGCATTAGAGACTCGAGTGGGGAGCGACTGTTCCCACAAGAGGCTGTTCTCACAAGGATACAACATGCACATGTGTTCATGTGTGTTCACCAAGGGCTCCAAGAGCCACCCAGGCAGAACAAAAAGCAGGACTCTAGGAGTATGTGTGGGGGTAAGAGAAGGGAGATAAGTGCTAAGGGTGGGGTGGAGGCAAAACGGCCAACAGACAGCAGATGCCTGAAGGAGCTGCCCCCGAATTCAGTGCTGGGCCTCCTCACCTAGCGCAGCGCTCTTCAGCCTTCCTCCCTAGAGCAAAGGCTTCTCTGCTGAGGGCATCAAACTGTGGCCTCACACCCCTGGGCTCCCTGCTGAGTCTCTGGAGTCTTCCTGCAGGCAGTGAAGGAGTTAACTCTTCTGCAAGTAGTAGTGGCAGCAAGAGGAGCCAGTGCTGGGACTTACTCACACACTCAGCACTTTGATCTCTGCTTGTCTTCCTAGGGAGAGCCTGTCGGGGCAGGTCTCCTGCCAGGCAGGCTGGGAGCAGCTCCTTGTTCCTGCTCCCGGCTCCCCAGGCAATGGCAGGGCCCAAGGGGCCCCTCAGAACCACTGCCTGCAGGCAAGGGAGCTGGAGGGGCTGGTGGAGACACTCACATGGAGACCCGTTTTGGTCTGGAGGGTAACTTCCCTCTTCCTTCCTTTCCTCCACCTGCACCCAGGCCCAGCCTAGGCCCAGCCAGGTTTACCAGGTGAAATGACTGGAATTCACAGGACTCCAGAATGGAATTGCTGAGGACATTGAGAGGTCGTAGTTGCATCCTCCCACTACCTGCTTCCTCCCAGGAAGCCCACCCCCTCAGGCTACTCCAGGCAGGTAGAAGATCCCCAAGTTTTCAGAGCCCCTTCGGCAAGGACATGGGCAAAGTGCCAAGGGCACAAGAATCCCTGGTAGGGGAATCCTACTGGTAATCTCCCATTTCAAGGAGTGGGACAGGCCACCCTGGTAGTCATGGAATTGAGACTCCCAGGCCTCAGGTTTCCCAACTCTGAAACAGGACCCTGGACCCAGACTGGCCAGGAAGAGCATGAGGGAGGGCAAAGACTCCCTTCTTTGGAGATTTGCTTACTTCCTAACCCCTCACCCTTTGAAGAATTGGGATAGGAAAGGTGGAAAGCAATTACTGTGACATTCAAACACCCTAGTCTATTACAGCCCATAATTACAAAGTTGTAAAAGTGATCAAAGAGCCCAGAGCATTGGCCAATGGGGGGGGGCACGACGACAGGACGACAAACAGGACTTTCAGGTAGTGGGTTCCTGTGCCCAGAGTTCTAGGAATAAAAAGCAAGCTCTGGGGACAGATGGTGGCCCAATCTAGGTCGGACTTCAGCCTCCAAAGTACCTGTTCTTAACTATCAGGTAGTGGTCTCCATGGTAAGAGAGGCAGGGCTTACACTCATCTGCTCTTCCTGTCTGCCTGTACCCAAGAAAGTAAGTGGGAGGCAGAAAGAGGCCCCAGGACAAGACTGGACTTTGGAAAGACAACCCAGAGACCTCTTTGGAAGCTCCAGAGTCAGCCAGTAAGTCTGCTGTGGTCTGTAGCAGCAGGAGCCATCACAGAGAGAGCACTGAGAGTGAACTGGGATTCTGCCTGTCGCTCGCGGGACTCACTGGTCAGCAGCTGCACTTCTTTGGACCTTAGATTTTCCTCTCTAGACCACAGTCTCCGTCTATTCTCTACTCATCAAAAATTGAAGCCAGGCTTGGTGGCTCAGCCTGTAATACCAGCACTCTGGGAGGCTGAGGTGAGTGGATTGCCTGAGCCTGCGGGTTCGAGACCCGCCTGGGCAGCGAGACCTCATCTCTAGAATAAATCAAAAAATCAGCCAGGCGTGGTAGTGCACGCCTGTAATTCTGGCTACTGGGAAGGCTGAGGCGGAAGGATCGCCGGAGCCCAGCAGGTCGAGGCTGCGGTGGCCGGGAGTGGCCGCTGCACTCCAGTCTGGGCGACAGAGTGAGACTCCAACTCAAAAAAAAAAAAAAACAATGAGCACCAACTGTGCCCAGGACACCAAGCCAGGGAAGGCCAGGCCCTCCAGAATGACTTATAATCTAGTTGTGGAGACAAGGCACATACAAAAAAATACAATGCTGAGAACAACATTCTAGAGCACAAATAAATGGAATAGCCCAGGAGCTTCTAAGTCTTTTTCCATTTCAGAATGCTCTTCCCTCCACTATCCCCTCCACCAACACTACATCCAACACAAATCCTCAATATACAAAACAGATAAAAGTGAGGCAGCTTACTTTGAGGTAGGGGTGAGGTCAGGAGGACCCTCAGCCTCTGCCTCCCCCAAAGCACCTCCACAAAACCTAGACTTAGCAGAATATGGTGTTGAAGGCATGGGCAGAGACCCTACCTGCTGGAGGTGTCCCTGAGGGAGAGATTTCTACTCCTACCAGGCTGGCTAAGCTGGTTGGGTCAATCAGGAAAGAGTCAGTAGAAAACATGCGATTCATCTGGGTTTGAAAGCAAGGGCAAAAGGAAGGAGGAGGAGGAGAAGGGATATAATCTTTATAGAGATCCACTCTGCCCAGACTCCCTAGGTTTGTATCCTGGCTCTGCTACCAATTCTTAGCTGTGAGACTTTGGGCAAGTCACTTAACTATTCTGTGTGTCAGTTTTCCTTTCTGTAAACTGAGACAAGAGGGCTATTGTGAGAACTACATAAATTAATCCATGTAAAGCGCTTGTAATAGTGCCTGGCACATAGTAAATAAGTATCTACTAGCCGGGCTCGGTGGCTCAGCCTGTAATCCCGCACTTTGGGAAGCTGAGGTGAGTGGATTGCCTGAGCCCACAGGTTTGAGACCCACCTGGGCAACTTGGCAAACTTCTTCTCTAAAATAAATCAAAAAATTAGCTGGGCATGGTAGCGCGCGCCTGTAGTTCCAGCTACTTAAAGTGGAAGGCTGAAGCGGAAGGATTGCCGGAGCCCAGCAGGTCGAGGCTGTGGTGGCCGGGAGCAGCCACTGCACTCCAGTCTGGGTGACAGAGTGAGACTCCAACTCAAAAAACAAAAAGTATCTACTTATTTACTTAATACTTCTTCCTTAAGTATTAGTTATTATTATATGAACAATTACTATGTGCTTTGTATATATTATTTCATTTACTGCTCACAACTCTACAAGACAGTCATCAGCTCCACTTCAGAGTTGAGGAAACTGAGGCTCAGAAAGACTGAATAACTTGCCCAAGGACACCTCTGATAAGCAGTGGAGGCAGGATTTGCACCCAGGACTTCAGCCTCCAGAGTAGCTGTTCTTAACTACCAAGTAGTGGTCTCCATGGTAAGAGAGGCAGGGCTTATACCCATCTGCTTATCTCCAGATCTAGCTCCTTCTAACAGGCAAAAGGCTACAACACTAGACCAGGCATGAGGTGATAAGGTTCTGGTTTTTCACAAGGATGGTTGTGAACTACTAATAAAGAAACAGAAACCAATCTGGGTGACTGAGGAGGGGTGGAGCGGGTAGTGGGGGTGGTGACAAGAACAGAAGAGTCCAGGACAATTACAGTGACGGTTTCAGAGAGGAACAAGAGACAACAAATGGAAGAACAAAACTCCAACCTTGTTAACTATAAATGCATGGAATGCCAATGCCAATGATGACATTAATGAAAATTGCAATCATTTACTGAGTGGTTACCATGTGCTTAGCACAGAGCTAAGAGCTTCCATCGGTACTGTCTCATTAAATCCTTATAACTACTTATGACATGAGTCCCATTATTATTGCTCTTTTACAGATGGGGAAACAGAGGCTCAGAGAGGTGAGCTAAAGTGTTCAGGTCACACTGAGGGGCACTGGAGGAACCTGGCTTCAAGCCCATGGCTATATGGTTTGAGAGCCTCAGCTCTGTCAATGGTGACAGCGCCACAGACACCAACAGGAAAAGCCAAGGCAGAGCTGCGTGGGGTTCATAGTTTTCAAACTTTTCCTCCCCTAAGACTCCATCTTTTCCTACAAATCCTATGAGCCATAATTTTTAAAATATATGTTCTACCAAACTAACTCCGTTTATTAGGTACAATTTACTTTCCTATGAGATAGCTTACATTAACATGTTGAACTAATAGAATTCTAGCCAGAAACAATATCAAGTATTTGAGTTAAGCCTACAGGACTCCTGAAATATTGAAGGTAGCTCAAAGACCCATGTTACTATTCTCACCAACCTCCTCTGAGCCAGGGAGTCACCAGTAGCACCTACTTGGTCAGGTCAAAGAATGAGAGTTGAGGGAAGTCTTAGACCTGACCAACTGGAAGTCACTGGTGAGCCTGATGCTAGAGCAATTCCCACAGAGTGATGGGGGAGAAGCCAGCCAAGGAGAAGCCAAGGAGTGTGTGCAGGGGGAGGAGACAAGGGCGTGGTCACAGGGCAGTGCCCAAGGTACTTCTTGTAAATCCTTAATGTTTTTTTTTAATTCTTCTGTTTGTTTTAGCTCAGGCACTATTTGGCATTCGACATATATTATTTTCATCCTCACAATAATCATGGGGGTAGGAAATAAAAGCCCCATTTTATGGTGATGGAAATGAAGGCCCAGCAAGGTTAAGTAGCTCAAAGGGCACTGACTACATGCTTCTTGCTTTACAGTGTCTGTGTACACATCTCTCCCACAGGAATATGGTCCTCCAGATGTCAAGAAGAAAACCTCTTATGTGAGTGCACCCTTACTGTCTGCCAAGTGTTCACAGATATGTGAAATCATGCTCTGCTTTAAAAGAACAGCAGTAGCTTTAGGAGACTTGGGTGGGAGGATTGCTTGAGACCAGGAGTTCAAGATCAGCCTGGACAATATAGAGAGAATTTGCCTCTAAAATTTTTTTAAAAAATTAACCAGGCATTGTGGTGTGTGCACCTCTAGTCCCAGCTACTTGAGAGGCTGAGGCAGGGGGATTTGCTTGGAGATAGAGGCTGCAGTGAGCTATGATCACACCACTGCTGTACAGTCTGGGTGACAGAGACTCTGTTTCTAAAATAAGTAAACAAAAGAACAGCAGAAACTCTGGGTAGCAGAATTCTAGATATTTCTATGAGCTTATTTATACTTTTCCATAACATTTCCAGAATACACATACACTGCTTTTATAATAAGAAAAAAATCAGAGTTTCTCTGAACACTTCTTCCTTCTCTCTCTCTTTCTCTCTCTCTCTCTCTCTCTCTCACACACACACACACACACACACACACACACACACACACACACACACGGTCTAATGCAGAATAGGCACTGTGAACTTGTTTACCAAATGCCCATATTGTGTTAAGCAAGGAAAATGAAATCTCCAGAGCAGAGCAGCTTCAGTCTCATAAAATCCTGCTGTTATTAAGGACCCTCACAATAACATGCTCCAGGTCCTCCAAGTGTGTCCTGGGCCCCAGCTTCCCACTGCTCCTGGACTGCCCTTTTGTATCAGCACAGCCTAGCCAGGAAGGTATCTTCACTTTCATTCAGAATCCTGCCCACATCCCTACCCCCCATGGGATGAGAAAAGAACCCAAGCTGTTTTCTTGAGGCCCACGGGAGGACCAGGAGATCTGCAAAGGAGTACGATGAGCCAGCACGAAGGTTGGGAGTGTTACTCTTCTCTCTTACCAGCCCAGGGAGCACACCCTTCTGTGCTACACACAATCTAGCCACACTCCACACATACGTTCACTTTTCCCAACCAAAACAGGAGGCAACAGAAAGATTAAAAACCTACATTTGAAGCCAGGCTCAGTGGCTCAGCCTGTAATCCCAGCACTTCGGGAGTCTGAGGTGAGTGGATTGCCTGAGCCCGCGGGTTCGAGACCCACCTGGGCAACTTGGTGAGACCTCATCTCTACAATAAAATCAAAAATTAGCTGGGTGTGGTAGCGCATGCCTGTAGTTCTAGCTACTTGGAAGGTTGAGGCGGGAGGATCACCAGAGCCCAGCAGGTCGAGGTTGCAGTGGCCGGGAGCAGCCACTGCACTCCAGTCTGGGTGACAGAGTGAGACTCCAACTCAAAACAAAAAAACAAAAAAATAAAAAAAACCTACATTTGAGATATAGACAGGGCTGGGTTTAAATCTCAGCTCCATCTTTTCCTGATTGTGCCATACTGTTGTTACTTAATTTTTCCGATGCTCACTTGCCTCATATGTCAAATGGAAAATAATAATCTCTATTTTTCCTGATTGTTGTGAAAAGTAGATGAGATAATATATACAAAGAATCTGCCCCATATCTACCTGGCAAGCACACAGAAAACAGTAACTGCTGGTCTTAGTTAAAGCAGCAGTCACAAAAGCAAAGGCTTATAAGCCCTACTAGGTAGCGGCCAGAATGGAGAGCAGCAAAGGAGAGGCCACAGCCGTGGGAAGGGGTAGCTCCAGTCCAGTGTCACCAGTCATGGCCTGCGGAGACATAGGACAAGTGCTGCCAGAGCTTCTGAGCTTTCTCCCAGAGAAGCTGAAAATCTGGATTTTTGTATAAACAGTTTCAATTTTTAAATGTGGCAATTAACTTACATTTTGAAAAGTCATGGCGAGGGCTAAATACAATCCATCTGCATGTCAAACCCAGTATACATACAACCAACTTGCAATCTCAGAGGAAAAGTGCAAACTTTAAAGTAGGGGGAAGCCGGGCTTGGTGGCTCAGCCTGTAATCCCACACTTTGGGAGACTGACGTGAGTGGATTGCCTGAGCCCGCGGGTTCGAGACCTGCCTGGGCAACTTGGTGAGACCTCATCTCTACAATAAATAAAAAATTAGCCGGGCATGGTAGTGCATGCCTGTAGTTCCAGCTACTTAAAGTGGAAGGCTGAGGTTGAAGGATTGCCGGAGCCCAGCAGGTCAAGGCTGCAGTGGCCAGGAGCGGCCACTGCACTCCAGTCTGGGTGACCGAGTGAGACTCCAACTCAAAAAAAAAAAAAAAAAAAAAAAGTAGGGGCAATGGCTTCTCATTTCTGCTGTTCTTGCATAATGCTCAGTGAATATTTCTGAAAGATGGTCAAACCTTTCAACCGACCCCCCACACCTCCCTTTTTTTGAGCTGGGGGTCTCATTCTGTCACCCAGGTTCTGTCTGGGGGGGTCTCATTCTGTCACCCAGACTCACTACAGTCTCCACCTCTAGACTCAGGAAACCCTTCCACTTCCTGAATAACTAAGATTACAGGCATAAACCATCATGCCCAGTTAATTTTTTGATATTTTGTAGAGACGAGGTCTTGATATGTTGCCTAGGCTGATCTCAAGCAATTCTCCCACCTCAGCCTCCCAAAGTGCTGGGATTACAGTGTGAGCCACTGCGTCTAGCCCTGATGCCCTCTTTGTTCTAGTGCTGGGCAGGGAAGGGCTTGGGAACTTCCAAGTGATGGGGGAGGAGGTGGGGTACACATGCCAGAATGAAAGTCAAAAAGTCCTGTTGGTGCTGGTTGGTAGACAAAGGACAGAAGCATGAATTTCTCCCTCTCTCAGACCAGTCACGGCTTAGGAAAATCTGAAGGAATCAGGCACATCACTTTTAGTTGTTTTTTTTTTTAATTTTTAAATTTAATTTTAATTTAATTTTATTTTTTTGAGTTGGAGTCTCACTCTGTCGCCCAAATTGGAGTGCAGTGGCCGCTCCCAGCCACCGCAGCCTCGACCTGCTGGGCTCCGGCAATCCTTCCGCCTCAGCCTTCCAAGTAGCTGGAACTACAGGCGTGTGCTACCACACCTGGCTAATTTTTTGATTTATTGTAGAGATGAGGTCTCGCCAAGTTGCCCAGGCGGGTCTCGAACCCGCGGGCTCAGGTAATCCACTCACCTCAGCCTCCCAAAGGCATGGGATTACAGGCTGAGCCACCGAGCCCAGTTCACATCACTTTTAGGAGACAAGGGGACGAGACAGCAGAGGACCTCTCACAGCCCAGAACTGGGTGAAGCTCAGGGCATGTGTAGGGTCAAGTGGGAATCTACCTTGCTAGCCAGAGACAGGCAGGGGCGGGGGGCCCGCCGGGGACTCTCCAGCTTGACGATGCTGATGAATCCAGGCTCCAGGTTGTCGTCGTCACTGGCATTGCACAGGTACAGAGGATGGGACTGCAGAGAGAGAGCAGACAGACTTGGGTTAGGGAGGCTCTCCGGAGCAGGAGTGGACTACGGGAGCCAAGCACATCATTTTCTGGGAAGGTACCAGGCAGCCCTCTTGGTGCTATGAACGAGTGGGCCTTATTACTGGATTGCCTCATGGTAAGCTAGTAACTATTAGCCTCATTTCAGGGGTGCCAGGGCTAAGATGCAGGTAGGTGGGAGAAGATGGGGGAGAAGGGTGACCCAGAGGGGGCCTGAATGAAAAGCCTATTGCAAAGGAACTCCCACCACCTTCAAGCCCTGCTTCTCTCAACTGGACAGATGGAGAGGGTGTCTCTCCTGGCCCAGCCTCTCTTGCCCCCGATCCTTCCACCTGCTCCCCAAATCCCAGGCTAAGAGAATATCCGTGTGTGCCTGTATCAGTGTCCTTAGCATCTTGCCTCTCCTTGCTCCACGTGGCAGTGCTGGGTGTATCCTCTCTCCTTAGGGTGCCCCCAGGAGCTGCTGCCCTATAGATTCCCATCTCTCATTAGGCCTGTTCCTCTCACTCAGTGCTGCCTGGCTTCTCTCACAGTCTCCCTCTGCCTTGGCCCTATTCCCATCCTGGGATCAAGCAGGGTGCTGACAGGGAGAGGGGACTATATTGGGATAAGGCTTGGCTAGGACATTAGCCCTGAACAGCACAATTCCTAGGAGCTCATCCTGTCCCTGGGAATGATTCAGTGAAGGTGGAGGCAGCTCAGCCCATCTGCTCTGAGGGTGTGGCAAGCCCAGTCCAAGGCCCTGGGCCTCTCAGCCCACCTGGTGCTGAACAGTGACTAAAGGGAAGTGGGCCAATATGTGCTGACAGAAACCACAGGGATAAGACTGCCTTACTCTAACCCTCTTCTCATTCAAGGTGATTCTAATGCCCATTTGAATCTATTTTCTAATAAAATGTCAGACTGCTATGAGAACAAGTATGATTTATTTGGCCCTGGATAATCTACAGGCCAGGGACTCTTATATGGTGGAAACCCAATGTATCCTGGCAAGAAGGGAATTTCCTATAGGAGAGCTGTCTGTACTGCCCCCTCCACTGCTGTTGAAGTCTGAAGGACTTCCAGGAGGAACATCAGAGGAACCAGAGAGAATCTTGAATTTTAAAGATGTTTATGAAAATAATCACGCTGATGATGGATTTAAAAGCACAGTTACCCTCTGAAAGCACTTGCAGGCTATCTCCCTTGACTAGGTCACTGTAGCCCCTTGAACGTGGTAGGTTTTAAGTAAATAGGTTCTACCTTGCTTTGAATTGTATCCTTGGGAATAAAACTCTCTGGGCAAGGGGTATTGAGACAGGTGGGAGTTTCATTCTTGCTCCCAGAGTTCAAGGACTACTAGCCTGATGGTGATCAAGGGTTAGTGTTGGGAAGAAGGTTATACACCCCTTCCCCCAGAAAAAGGCTAGAGTATGAGGTTGGAGCTGTTCTCATTTCAGTGAAGCTGCAGTCCCTGTCTCAACAAATTCCATCAATCTGTCCATCTGTCCATGGATCCAACCATGCATCCATTCATTTCTCTGCTCTGCCAACACTGAAGGCTCCCTTAGTGCCAGGCACTGCATAATACATTAAGGAGTTAATCTCAAGAGAAGAGGCTCCTTGTCTTAAAGCAGCTCAGAAGACAAGCACGCAAACACGTTGTGCTGTGATGTTATGATGCAAGTATGTTCTAGGGTCTATGGAGGCACACAAGGTGGGGGACCACCAATCCCATATGGAAGGGCAGAGAAGTTTTCACAAAAGGTGACTTGAGAGCTTCCTTGGAGGCTGAATAGGTATGAGTTTACCACCAAAAGAGGGTGGGGTGGGAGGTACATTCTGGCAGAGAAAGCCGCCTATGCCCAGGCATGACACAAAGTGGAGATGGACTATGGGCAGTTAGGTCCACATGAAAGGGAAGGCAGGAGATGAGGCTGGAAAGATAGACAGGGTCAGGCCATGGGAGCAGAGACCACAGATATGCATTTGAGATGGATTCCTCTGGTGACTCCAGAGGAAAGTCTGGTGAGGGAAGGGGTCAGAAGTCAGTTGTCCCAACATAGCAAAAGATGCGAGGCCTTCCTACATGCTGGCAAATGACAACTATAGAAGCCTACTCTCAGCTTGCTCCTCACCCTGCTCCATGGTCTGCATTTCTCATGATGATCCAAGATGGCTTTCACTGGCCAGAGTGCCAACTGGGAGAGGGGAAGGTCACTTTGAAGCAGTGAAGTTCATAGAGAAGGATTTGCAAATTAAAATTTAACCAGCATTCTTCCCTAGGCCTTAGCAGGGAACCAGCATCTACAGAGGAGTGCTGTGCTGTAGGAACATCTGACAAGGTGAAAGGGAATAAAAATTGGTGTCACAATCACCAGGCTTGCCTGGTTCTGAGCTACAGAGGAAGGAATGAGAGGAAACAAACTATCAGTAAAGGCCTCTTACGTGCCAGGGTTTTAAAAGACATCTCACTATGAGGTAGGTGTTCTCATACCCACTTAAAGAAGAGAAACTTGAGGCTCAGAGAAGTCAACATCACACAAGATCAGAACTCAGCTCTGCCTGACTCATCTTCAGAGACAGGGAATTCCAAACGAACACAGAGTCAACCTTCCATTGTCCGTGCTAACAATAAGGTTGAAGACAGTAATAGTTTCCATTTACTGAGTAAATACTATGGGTCAGTGGTTGTTCTCAGCACTTTTGAGTATTAACTCTTCTCATCCTTGGTGTCTTTGGTCTTGGTGTTACATATATGCAGCCTAGTCTTCTCAAGAGCTCCAAACCCATTTCTGCCTGAAGAATCAACCTTACATGAGACACCTCAACTCGGCAAGTTCAAGTCTGAACTAATCATTCTATTCCTCAAAACTGTTCCCCCATGCTCCCTGTTTTAGGGACTGAAGCCACTATTCACCTATTACTCAAGTCAGATATTGTTAACCTAGACTTCTCTGTCTCCTTCACCCCCCGGCCACCAATGGCCAATCAATCACCACATTCTAACAAGACTACTTCCTACATATTTCTCTGAGATGTTCTCTTTCTTCCTCACTATGGCGATTCTAATACAGGCATCATTGCTATCCTGATTTATTGAAATAACCTCCCACCTAGGGTCACTTCACCCCAATCAGTTCTTTCCATGGCAGCCAAAATGGTCTAAAATGTTAACTTGAGCATGTTACTCTTCAACGGAAAGCTCCCACAAGGCTCCCACAAAGCTGTTGGAATAAAGTCTGCGCTTGTAAACATAGCTTTTAAGGCTCTGCCTTCATGCCTTGCCTCACAGCTTAACACTTCCTTCCCAAATCTCTTCCCCACTTGCAACCCATGCTCTTGGCACTTTTGGCAATCGCTGCTCTGTCCGGCATTTCCTAACCATAGACTTATCCCATTGTATTCTGACTGTCTGCTTACTTCCCTCTCTCCCTGCCCCAAGACTATGGCTGAGCCTGGGCTGTCCTCTTCAGTGCCTACTACATTGTGGGTACTCCATCAGTATTTGTTGATTAAATACTGAAGTCTACAACCAGGTAATTGGTAGTTAATTACAAAGAAGACAAGACAAAGCACACCAAAACCTGATCATGGTTGCTTTGGGAGGGGCATTAGAGAAGGAGTGGTAAGGAGGGACTTTGGTATTTGATTTGAATACTACAATCAAGGATAATATGTTCAGATATGAATTTGAGTTTGTTTACTGCTGTTGAAGAGGAATAAAAAAGAATAAGAACTTATAGTTTGTTCCGTCTTTCCCTTGCTTCTATTCCAAGAAAGTAATTTCACCTTCTTTTCCTAGGCTCAGGGGCATTTGCCAGAAGCAAATGTTGCTTAAAGACCTCCCTTCCTGGCTTTTGTGAAAAACTGAACACATGGAGGAAGTGTGTGTCCTGAAAAGAGTGTGGTTGCAGTAGGGGTCAGAGTCTCTAAACCAGGAAGAATGGAGGGAGAGGTCTGGGGACATGCCTAGTAGTGGGAATCTACAGTCTGTGCCCAGAATGGGTGGGCCCCTGGAGAATGGCCGAATGGTAGATGCTGGGCTGGACCCTGGCAGAAATAATGTGCCTGTGTAGATTTCAAGGGAATACTTGTTTTACTTGTGTTTGGACAATGGATATACTTGTGGTGACCAATATGGATAAATATCAGAGGGGTCTCCAGGATAATTTAGTTTCCATAAAACTCTGGATATTTTGTGCTACTCTGTAAGAAGCTCCCCCCAAAACAAATTACTATTCAACTAATGGGATAGGACCTTGGAGTTAGATTTGATAAAAATGAAAATGAAATAGTACAATATTTCTTATACAGTTATATTTGTGGCATGAGAACCATGCTCACTATACTTTTGTATAGTTTGACTCTTTTATAACGAGAATTTTTCAAGTATTCTCAAATTAAAAATAACAAAACAGGCATTCACACGGGGCTCCTGTTCGTTATCTAGCAAGGCAGTGTTAATATTCCTTGGGTTATAACACAGGGGCTGGCTTTGCCCCCTCTTCCAGGGAATTTTCAGTCAGGAAGAGGGCTCCTGAGGAGAAAACAGACCCAAATGCCTATCTCCTTGGGATGCAAGGTCTCCTAATAATGAAGATGCAAACATGATTTCCACATTGGGCCCCCTGTCCTCTGAGTGACACCGGGCAAGAGAAATGAACTTGAGGGATGTGGGGAGGGTGGGGCTGGGGAGGGCTCACGGAAACTTGGTGAGTTTGAGGACTGGTAGTTTGTGTCTTCTTGAAATGCCAGGAGTTGGGACGTCCCTGTCTCACAGGCTGCCACGAGGGGCAGATTATTCTCCTGGTCCAGGTCATTCTGACTCAGAATTCAGCCCTGCACACATATTTTATACCCTTACATATAGATGTGTGAACTGTCCTTTGATGGAGTGTATTGTATTTCATATTCTTGAATCTGTTCTCCCTCTGTCTTCCTTTCTTCAACATATTTGTTCTGATACCCCCTCTCTCCAGACAGACC